GCAGAAGGATGGGTAATCTCCTCCCATGCGATATAGTTGTTGTTGTTGTTGTATACCGTAGAGTCAGAACTGACCCATAGCTCTGGCGGGTTTTTTTCAGAGGTAGACAAGAGGAGACTGCCTTTCCTTCCCCTGGAACAGTTTCTGGGTTCAACCTCCATGCCTTCAGATTGCAGCACACCTTCTTACCACTAGGCCATCTCATATATATATAAATATATACATGTATTCCTCATATATATATATCAAAATCCACATATATGCACATAAACAAATAAAGAGAAGAGATATTTACTTCAAGGCTTATTTAATTGAGGAGGCATGCTGGAGACTCTTGCTGGTTCTCATAATTGGGGGAAGAAAGATGGATAAAGCATTCATTATAGGTTTAGATCGCAAGCTCTGTAGACATGGTGTCAAGAAGAGTATAAAGAGAAAATGGAGAAAGAATTCTGCCAAAGTGTCATGTATAGAGGTAGAACACTCCATAAGGAAACTATCTCTTCTCTTAACTTTTCTTGTGATTTGAGTGTGAAAATTTACAAAACAAGTTGATTTTTCTATTCATTTTGTTTTGTAACATTGATTATAATCTGCAGATGGTGACAGCATTCTTGCCAGTTCTTTCTTGTGTTCCTCATTTCCATTCAACCCTCTTTCCTCTTCTCCTCTGACTTCTGAGCCTTATTGCTGGACAGATGCTGCCCTTTTAATCTTGTGAGGTCAACTTTTCCAGCAAGTGTGTTCCTGCCTGGTGTTCCAGGTCACCATGCAGACCTGTCTACTGTAATGTTAGGAACTGTGTCTCAGAGGTGATTTTATAGTCTCAGGCTTGGTAAAGAATAATGAATGGACATCTATACACTTGGTTTTACCCCCAGTCCCTATCAGACCTAAGACTAGTCTTCTTTATAATTTTGAACCTTGAGAGATTTTTCTGTTTGTTTTTCAGTTTGGTCTAGTGTCATAGTTCATAAATAACCAACTCAAAGGCTGTGCCTCGCTGGCAGCTCTGAGGGAGAAAGATGGTCGGTTTCCTCCCATGCAATGTACAGTCCCAGGATCCAGCTGTAGGGTCAGCTATGAATCGATTCTGACTTGACAGCAGTGAGTTTGAGTTTGAGCTACTCCCGAACAGAAACTAGACTAGTGGTTGATGAGACACATTGAAATCACAGCCTCGTCAGAACGACCTAAAATTAACCATCACATATGTTAGAACTAAGATAGGTGTGCATGTCTTCAGTTCTTTCTCTGTCTCAGTTTCCTTATCTTTAAAATAGTAGTAATAGTACTTAATCTCATCTACTCGAGAGAGGGTTACATGTGATATTAAATAGCAAAGTAGAGACCAGGAAAAGGTGCCTGTGTGGTTTTTGCCTTGTTTTTAAATGATCAAATGACAAAGAATGATGGCCTGGTGTGGTAATGGGAAGTGGTATAGTTGATTGTTTAAAATCCGGGTTCAGATTCATCTCTGCAATGTGCCAACTAAAAGTATGACTTTGAATGTGTTATATTCTGCTTATTATCTCAGAGTCTCACCCTCTCACATGTAAAGTGAAGATGATGGTGACATCATCTCATATACTTTGGCATGATGGCAGGAGGCACCAGTTCTTGGGAGGGGAAAAAAACCAAGCTGGGAAAAGTGGAGAGTGAGTGAAAGAAACAAAACAAAACAAAACAAAACACTCAGTGAGATAGATTGGCACAGTGCCCACAAATGTGGGCTTGAGTTGGCAGAGAGTGTGAGGATGGTGCTGGAACAGGGCAAGGTTTTGATCTGTTATTCATAGGGTCAACCCCATGGCATCTAACCAAAACAACAACACTGCTTCATAGGCTTGGGGGTGGGGGGAGGGGAGAGAGAGAGAAAACACACATATAAAAGCATCTCATCTGCTTAAAACAGTCTGGCACATACTTAAAAAGAAAGAAAACACAAACCTGTTGCCATAGAATTGATTCCACCTCATCACAGCCCCATGGAACTACCTCCACCGGCTGTCTCAGGAGACTGCCACATCTTTCTCCTGTGCAGTGGCCAGTAGGTTTGAACTGCCAATCGAGCACTTTAACCACTATGCCACCAGAGCTCCTTTTGGCACATCGTAGGTACTTGCAGAATGAAAAAGTTGTTCTTGTGTGTAATTAAGTGTGAAGACAGAAGCAGCAAAATGAAAGCAAGCATGTTGGATGTCTTGGTGTGCTTTTTTATCTTTCCCTGCTCTGTCTATTCTGATGAAGATGAAGCCACATTGTTTTTTCTTTTCATTTTTATCTGAGTGAAAGTGTACAAAGCAATTTTGTATTCCATTCAGTCATTCCTTGTATAGTTTCTCTTATAATATTAACTACAGTGCCTACAATGTAACCCCATCCTTCCCACTTCCTTCCTGTGGTTTCCAGTAATGTGGAAATTGAGCTCAGCAAAGTAGGATACAGAACTTTGCTTTTGTCATTGCCTTTGTGGACTATCTTATGCTACTTGACCTTGATGTCTCCCAAGACTGTAGTCTCAAGACCCTAGAATCAGCAATTCATGCCCTCAGGGTGTTCAGTAATGGTTAAGAAGTTTCCATAGCCTTACCTCTATTTGGCTCCTGCTATATGCATGGATATATTTACAGTATATAGAAATACTAATAAATATCACCTGCCAACCTGGTGTTTGGACATGAGTTTAGGAGGCAATGATTAAGTGTCAGCTTCTGGGCTAGTCTTGTGGCAGCAAATGACTATATTCTTTCTTGAAACATCCAGTGGAATATGTTACTAGATTAATAAAACACCTTTTTTTAACACTTTGCTCAAAAAAGTGAGACCATAAGCTTTCCCAAGTGCTTAATTTATATTAACACCTAGGGCTAACTTTAAGAGGAAAGCAGTCAGGGAGAGGTGGGTGTGTGGGTGGGTATCTGTTCACATTCGTTTGAACTGGTACCAACCTACCTTCCACAGTTAAGTGTGTCATGAAAACTTTTTCCTAGTAAAAAAATGCAAGCTTCTAGCTCTTGCTCAGCCTTCCTTTCTTCTTGACCCTTGAGTTTGCATTGTTTATAGTACTGGTCACTTAATATACCCAGAGAGTGCAGCGAGTATCTAACACTTCCTGATTCTGAGCTGGTGAAGCCATTTCTTTTTCTGTGGTTTATATGACACAAAGGAAGGATGAAAGTTCTCTCTTGGAAAAGCATGCTCAAGGCTTGTGTGGGGTGTGTGGGAGAGTGTGCAGGGAGGTAGGGAGCCATCCTTCTGAGAGTTGTTTCTGAATGGCCAAGGTCAGCCCCCCTGAAATAATGGTCTTCCTTTCATGTTCAGGTAATGCAGGTGGTGAAGGAGCAGGTTATGAGAGCTCTTACAACCAAGCCTAGCTCCCTGGACCAGTTCAAGAGCAAACTGCAGAACTTGAGCTACACAGAGATCCTAAAGATCCGCCAGTCTGAGAGGATGAACCAGGAAGACTTCCAGTCTCGCCCGATTTTGTAAGTTACCCCTGTGCTCTTATCTCCTCAAAGTCTATGACCCCTATTTCTAGAGAGTAACGGTTCTGTGTGGTGAATGCTTTAGGGGAAGACATTGTAAAAGTTCTAAATTCACCTAAGGAAGCTTCAGCAGCTAGTTGGAGAAGGGCTGGGTAGAGGTGATGTGGCACAATCTGGGCTGAAGACCAGGGTGTTAATGGGAGGTGGGGCAACTGTTAATGGAATGGATCTGAGCCAGAAAATGGTCCAGTGACTGCCAGTTTCTCACAATGGCTTTGTAGCTAAAAAGTGTTGGACTTTTTCCACAATTGTAGACTTTTTCCCTGCCTTTTGCCTATAAAACTATATTCCGTGTGATTGTCCCTCAAGATGCTCTTATCCAGACAGAATGAGATTCTCCAATAACTAAAGCAAATGAGCATTTTCTCTTGTAAGGAACGGTGGGGATCAGTGAGCGGGAAGAAGGTGACCTTGAGAGCAAGAAGAAGATTTGCTTACTCCTCACCCAGCTGGCGCTGGTTGTGGCTTTGGTTGGTGGAGGGGAGGATTGTATATCTCTTCCTTGAACATAAGTCTCCAGACTACAGTGGGGAGCTGGCAGGCTCCTTTTAATGTAAAACTTTACATCAAACGTAGCTTGTAATACTTGCCTCATAGGTGTTTCTCCATCTATAAGATATTGTTACCCTTGATTATGAGGACCTTGTTGACTGCTTCTTAGAATTTCCCTTACTCTGAGATCAAGGTCAGCATTTTTACCCAGACATTTTATAGGGGAGAATGGAGGGGACCATGTTAATCAGAAAGACACTTGCCATCTCTTCTCTGTTGCTCTCAGAAGATAGCACCCAGCCTTGTCTTAACTTTTGTGCAAAGCTGACTTGGAATATAGGTGTGCTTTTTCTGTGTCTCTTGAATCTTAGTCTTTTGTTGCTGCTATTGTTGTTGTTGTTTTTAGAATTTAGCACATTGTAGAGCACCCTTTTGTGCTATTTCATGTCCTCATGTCTGGATGACCTATTGTTGCTGTGTGGTATACCACTGAACCAGCTCATAGTTGATCCTCTAGCACTTTTTCAGAGGTAAGAGCACAGGAGATTATCTATCCTTCCCCTGAAAGCAGGTGGTAGATTTGAATCTGGTGCCTTTGGTATGGCAGCTCAGTTCCTTACCACTAGGCCCATCAGAGAGCTGAAGAGACTTGCTAGCAAATGGAAGAGTTGGGGCTTGAACTCCGCTCTGCTGAGCTCTCAGCTGATGCTTGTCCACCCCACCATGAACTCCTTTTCTGTGCTAAAAACCGAGTTGAGGTTAAATAAATAAATATGTAAAAAGACAGTAACCAAGATGAAAAGTTCCTGTGCATCTGTCTGTGTTTAAACTCTGTAACATCATGAGAGACGGAGGAGCAGAAGCTAGCCTCCACCAGGGTCTTGGCAGCAGCATTGTCAGAGCTGCACTGGGCACCAGCCCAGCCAAAGGCACTACAAAGCCTGGCATTGGGCCTCAGCCAAGGAAGGAAATGGCCAGGAATCCACACAGTATGTACTGTGGATACATTACCTGGTTCCTTTTAGATGTAGTTTCTCCCCTGCAAGGCAGGTCAGCAGTGTGTCACCCACCCCAGGCCTACACTGCTGAAATGCTACATTTCCTTCCATCTGTCTCAGTAGGTATGTCAACATAAGGAGACCTTACTATGCTCTGACAACAGTCTTCAAAGCCTTACTGGAGGTATGAGGAACCACGTCAGTGAAAGCCAAGGATCCTAATTTAATATTTTCATCTAACTCCCTCTTCTCTTCTTTCTCCAGCCTCACATTACTATTAATCTTCTTTTGTCTCAAAAGATTCACTTAGTCTAGATATATTATGTGAGATCACATAGTTCTTGTCTCTTTGTGTCTGACTTATTTCACTCAGTGTGTCTTTTAAGTTTCATTTATGTATCAGAAGTTCATTTCTCTTTATAGCTGAGAAATATGCCATAGAATGGAAATGCTGTACACCTGTTGATGTTTACCTGTTCATCTGTTGATAGACACTTGGCTTGTGTTCACTCCAGACTAATATTTGACCATGACTTTGTTCCAGGAAAGAGCAATAAACTGTATGCCAAGTATAAAGGTGTTGCTCCTGCTTTGCCTCTTGGTAACTTTACTTTCCAAAACTGTGCCTGTGATATTCTAAAAATCATATTCCCTTTATTACAAAAGCACTAATATTTACCTTTATTATGTGAGAGGAAATAATGCAACTAAAAGTGAATTTTCTACATGATAACATTTGAATCATCTCTCCCTCAGACATGGGACTGAAAAGCACTAGAAGAGTTTGCAAAGGTTGCATCAAAGTCACAAAGAATTTCCAGAAGCTACATAGCAGCTAAAGTGGAAGTCCTGGACCACTCTGCGATTGTCCCAGTCTCAGAAATGGGCAGGCAGCTGGTCTGTAGCTTCTTCGGGGGTTCTTTTATCCTTTTTTCATGAGCATCACCTGTTAGACATGAGATTGGTAAGAAGGAGTGAGGTTAGATAGCACTCTCCATACTGTCAAAAGGGCTCCTAAGGTAAACCCAAGGAGCCTAAAGGAAAGGAACCCATGTGTGCTTGCCTAAAGGAAAGGAACCCATGTGTGCTTGTTATCATTTCTCCATTCATTGGATAAGCAGACATTGAGCCATTCCCACAAGCGAGCTCTGTCCTGGTGCCAGTCACTGGTGGTGAACTAGTCCCAGACTTTAAAACTGGTGAGTTTGGGCAGACTTCTCCATGCTCGGTGCTTGGCTCGGGAGGTGCAGGGTGTTCTGAGAGCTTGGAGTTTAGGATGTTAGAATTTTAGAATTGGAAAGAACTTTTATGGTTATCTTGGCCAAGGTTTTTGTTTTTGAGTCAAGGACGAGCAACTTGTTTAGACTCAGCTGCTAATGTAAAAACTGGTTTGACTCTTGGACCAAGTTCTCCTGCTTCTTACCCCAAGAACTGCTCCCTGCCTTCCCCGGCTTCTGTGTGTATGTGGCATACAGTATGGTGACAAACAAGCCCCTCACTGCCCCCTCAGGCACGCTATGAGAACCTTAGAAAATGTATGGTCACTCTGAGTTACTGTTAACTCAGCTTCATCCAACAGCAGCAATATATGCTGTCAGAACCGCTGGATGGCATAAATGGTTTAGCATTCAACTACTGCATGAAAGGTAGTACAGTTCAGACACACATAGGATTCTCAGAAGCCAAGAAGTGTGGAAATTTGCTTCAGAAGGGTTGCACCGTTGGAAACCTTCTGAAGTAGCTCTACTCTGCACACAGAGTCTCTGTGAATCAAAATCATAAATGACAACAACATAAATGCAGTGGGCTAAATAAATTCTGTTTCACTTCTTAAACCAAAGAGCCTCCTACTCTCAAATCAGTGGTGACTCTCAGTGCCTCCAGGTTTCTGAGACTGTAAATCTTTACAGGAGGGGGATGCCCATCTTTATCCTTCATAGTAACTGGTGGATTCGACCTGAAGTTAATAGTTTAACACCTTACACACTAAGCGGCCAACATTCTTATCCTTCTTAGCACTTGGTTAATCAATTCAAAGAGTAAGGATTTGTTATTTTCTCCTTCAAATTTCTTAAGTCCATTCACCTAATCATCTGAATTAATGGATACTTTAAAAAGCTTAAATAGTCTAAAAATAGATCATTTAACAGGCTCTTGTGGGGCAAGGTAGACTACAAGGACACATTCTCCTAAAGTAGAACAACAAATGTGTAAAACCCAAACTAGAGTCTAGCTCCACTTTTTCTAGCTGGTTAGGCAATCCACTTGACACTTTTTAAGCCTTATTTTTATGATCACTAAAAATGAAGATTATAAAGTATTTACTTCATTCTGTTATTATGTGAATTCAGTGGAGTACATGAAAAACACCCTGTATATGCCTGACCTGTAATATCCAATCAAGTTATCGGTCACCCTGAGGGATCCCTGGTGATTCTGTGAGTGAGCATTCATAGGGGAGAAGCTCATGATCTGAACCGACCAGCTCCTTCCATAGGAGGGAAATACAGCAGTCAGTTTTCATAAACAATAGGGAGCTCTGGTGGCCAGTTGATAAAAAGCTGCACTGCAAGCCAAAGGCAAGCGGTTCAAATCCACCAGCTGCTCCATGGGAGAAGGCTAAACAGTCTCCTCCTATGAGATTAACTGCCTCTGAAAACCTGCTGGAGAGTCAGCTGTGTGTCAGGTCTGACTCAGTGAAACCCAACAACAACAACACTGCCTAAGAAGCTCTACAGGGAAGTTGTTTTGTCCTATTGGGTCACAATGGTTCAGAATTGACTCTATATCAATGAGTTTATTTTTATTTACTGATAATCAGAATTTCATGAGTCCTGACACTGACAGTAAGAAAACGATGGAACTGACAGTGCACATGTATTTGTATGTGACTTTCCTTTGCTGTAAAATGAACAGAGAGAGCTAGAAATAAGGTCAGTGCTTAGTCTGCAGATCTGCACTCTTATTAAAGGTTGGCCACCACTTTGCTAGCAGCTCTCTGTACTCACACTGGTGAGACAGTCTTTTCAATTACACACCCTTCTGTGTTCAAAACCTGTGACAATACTTACGAGTGCACATACCAGACGCTGTTCTGCCTGCTGGCAGTGCTGCAGAGAAAATGGACGCAATCTTCGCTTTCATGGTGGTTATATTCTAGTGGTAAGAAACAGATCATTGACATGGTGAATGCATTAATCATACAGCAAGTTAGAATGGGACATGTGCAATAAGAAAAAGCAAGAATGGAAAATGGAGGATTTCCAGTTGAAAATACAGTGGTTACATTTGTTGTTGCTCTTGTTGTGTACCATCAAGTCAGAACCGACTCCTAGCTGACCACCCAGTGGGTTGTCAGAGGCATTTCATTATACAGGAGCCAATTGTCTGTCTTTCTCCAGAGGAGCAGCTGGTGGATTTGAACCTCTTGCATTTGGGATTGCAACCCAG